TTTTTTATATTAGTTTTTTTTTTTATATCTTATATTATTATATATATATATTTTTTAATATTTTATATTATTAGTTTTTTTTAATATTTTAAGTTTTAGTTTTTTTTTACTAATTTAGTCTATATATTTATAAATCCATTATAACAGCATTAATTACATTTAGAATGACATAATGTTGGGTAATTTGTAACATCAAATTTTAATAGCAACATTGACTTGTAATTTATGTGAAAACTTATTTTACCAAAGTCTTTTGCAATCAACTATACATAAATTAAAATAGCTTATTGTTTATATTTAAATGATATAATTGTAGAAAAAACTTATGATGAGTAAAAGTTATTAAAAATTTCTTTTACTCATTTTTATAAGTTAATATAAATCATCTTTATAAATGAAATTCACAAGTTTTGATGATGCTTTCTGTGAATTAGTTTTTTTTTTTTTTTTGCTATTTAGTATTACTACTATTTGCTACATGTTTAATTTAAATTTGCTACTTAATTTCTATCAAATGCTACTTCACTGCTGCAATGCAGATATGTAAATTGACAGCAAGGAGTACTTATATATTTTTTACTAAACATTTTTAAGTTGGTATGAAATATTTGTTAAAAACCTTTAAATTTTTTTTCAGTATATGTTTTTGTTAAAAGGTTTACAGTAAAAAAAAATCAGTTTTATACCTGAAAATAATCATAATTAATATTTTTAGCATTAAATAAAATTTTCATAATTTTATATTTTTATTTATGAGAACCATCATTATTAATAATCTTCCTGACAACCTCTAAAGTGGTTTTATTTACTGATGATGTAATGCGGTAAAATTCTTTATAAAATGTTTGAGTCACTAAAACAGGAGCAAAGTAAGATGATTTAAATGATGGAACAGATTTCCGAAACATTGATCTTTAAGAAAGATGAAATAAATGATTTTCAAGCATGAAGGAACAATTAAAGTTTCAACACCTGAATGGCAGGTCATAAGCAGCAGTTATGGTAGTATATGTTAAAAAAAAAAGAAGTGCAATTATACGTAACAGAGACTCAAGCTTAGCAGCAAAGACAGGTCTAACAATATTTACAATCCATTTTTTGGTCTTGTCTAAAAGAGTGAGGGGTCATTCTCAGCAGTGCCATACTCAGATGTAATTCCATACCAGTTGACGTAAAAAAAAATTGTAATTTTTGTTAGCTAAACACTTCGTTTTATAACTATAATTATAGTGATGAATTTTATGAATGTGGCTTTTATATTTTTATATATACGTATGGAATTATACTTATATGAATTTTAAGAATGATTTTTTTATTGTTAAAAGTTTAATTGCGTTGTTAGCATTTTTTAAAGTACCGTGTTGTAATTTATTATAATTTTAAATTGCACTTAAATCTTTTAAACAATGACTATAACAAAAATTACTAATGAAATCTAAATTGGTTATTTTAAAAAATGTTTTATTTCTTATCTATTTCTTAAAATTATTTTATACATTGCATAATAATCTTTTTGTTTGCTTTATCTAAATTTTTTTTTCAAAGTATTAAATGAACTATTTTGAATAAAAATTGTAAACAATTTATTGATATACTTTATCAGTTACGAAAAAGATATTTGTAAACATAATTTGTGTTCATAAATGAAACTTAAAAACATAAGAGCTTAATGTGTTTTTGAATTGATAAGAAAAAAAAAGCTTTAATTCCATTAATGAAAACTCTCTTAAACAAAAAACTCAGTTCTTAAAAAAGAATTAAGGTGATTTATGGTTAGTTTTATATATTTAAATCTATGATGGAGACTTTTGTTAAATAACATTTTTATGTAATTAATTAGTTAGCAAATAAAAAGGAAATATTTCTTTAAAAAGTGTTTTGCTTACATTACATTGCTTCAAAGTTAAATTTGAATTTTCAATTTAAAAGTCATATTTAATTTCAAGTTATTTATTTAAAACATTTTTTTTTTAAAGCAAAAAATTAAATTAGTTAACTAATGTGATTATCATGTTTTTTACAATAATTAATTTAATCTAAATAAAGGTCACATTAACAATATCAAAAAACAATTTAAATATTCTAATGGATAATAGTTTTTGCTTAACATAAAATTTTTAAACCTTTAGAAGAAATCACTGTTTTATATATAAAATGCGTACTGCATAACATTTCTTAACAAGGTCTGAATTTAAATATCTATTCAGCAAGCACAAGACATATTTAAGTTGTTTAAAACATTTCAGACATTTAAAACATGTCTTGTGACTGTGAATCTGATGAAGAATTGCAATATTTTTTGAAATCATAGCATGGTCCAAAGTACATAAAGGTAGGGTTACAAAAAAAGTATAGGGTTTTGAAACCCTATACTTTTTTTGTTACCCTACCTTTATGTACTTTAAAGTACATAAAGGTAGGGTAACAAAAAAAGTATAGGATTTTAAAACTATATACTTTTTTTGTTGAACTAGTCAGCCTTAATTTTTTTAGAACAATTCAAAAAACAAATCAGTTTTGTCTATTTTTTTGTGGTTGGTCTTCTACTTCTATTTTTAACATTTTTAAGATCTTAAAAAACTTAATAATAGAAATCTTTGCAACACATTCTTTGCATGTAAAGTTATGCAACTTTGTGTTAAAATTTATTTAATGATAACTGAATTAAAATGATTAAAAGTTGCGTTTAAACAAATAATTTTATCTAGTGTAAAAATTTGCTTTTGCTTTAGTTTACTAGAAAATACTTTGCTATTAATTTTGTAGATACTGATTAAATTGAAAAATGTTGCAAAAATAAGTAAAAAACTAGTTTTTAATCAAAGTTAATAAACTTCTATAGAAATCTTCTTGTAGCTGATGAATTTTATAATACAAAGTTGCCTTTACTCAGGGTTGTTCTTATACATGTCTTTACATCAAGCCTCCAAGAGAAATTCTATCTTAGCTTGTTTAAAATAGGCCTATTTACTTGTTAAATCAGATGTCAATCAATATATTGAAAAAGAGAAAGGTCTGTTAAATGTCAAAAACGATTGAAGAATAAGATTATTTAGGGATACAAGTAGATCATTGCCACAAAAACCCACTTTATTTAAAATCATAATTATTGATATAAATACAAAAGTCTTAAGAAGAATAATTCAAAGTTTCTACTTGAAAAGTCCTCCCAGCAACTCACAATCACCTACAGTTACTTTTTTTTTAATTTAGTTTTTAAGGTGTTCCATTAAGAACTAAAGGTCTTATTACAAAGCACCGCAGAAGAGCAATTTTAACAGGAATTTCATGCCTCCTTCCTTACCAACATTGCTTATCTGGCCAAAGTCGACATTGAAAACCAGACCTTTTGATTCTTAGCAAGAACTCCAACCACCATGGCTGAGATTAAGTAATTTTGCATTTTGACTTGTATTGTTGCAAATCTATGGACTGAATTTATGTATAACCCTAGTTTTTTGTTTTATTTATAACCACACTAATGATTACAAATTTTATTGGTAAATTTTATTGACTTATTGTCAAAATAATCACTTTTAATGAAATTGAAGTAGAAAGCTAAGTATTAACAGTTAAAAAAAAAATAAATAATTCGAAATCAACATAAAAGATTAATTAAGAAAAAGTGGTTAAACTACACAAAATCTATAAAAAGTGGATTTTGGATCATCCTAAAACTTTGGGTTTTTTTAAAAACAAGTTAACCTTAATTTCAAAAGGTCGAATTACATAGGGATTTTAAATATAAGGATTGTTTATGTTATAAATAAATGCTTTAAATTTTAAGAAAAGAAAATTTGTTTAAAAAAATGTAAAAATTTGTCTTATGATTAAGTTCAAGATTTTTTGTTTTTTATGATATTTGATATTTTTGAAATCTTTATGCATTTATGTTTCTTTTGAGATCCAGGTTGACCTTTATTTGAAAAACAATTTTCTTTTTAACATATTAGGAACCCTTTCAGTAATCAAGGGTTAAAAGAAGCCCTTAAAAATATTTTCATAATAGTTATATTTAGTTTAAAATTTTTGTTTATAACATCATTGTGGGGGGTAGGGGGTGCAACTAAAAAAATTGATGATATGTTATAAACAAAAATTGACACTAAATTTTTGTTTATAACAATGATATGTTATAAACAAAAATTTAGTGTCAAATTTTTGTTTATAACATATCATTGTGGGGGGTAGGGGGTGCAACTAACATTATCTAAATATTAACATTAAAAAATTTAATTTTGCAACTTTACAACATTTGCAAAAGAAAAAAGAAAAAAAAGAAAGTGTATCATTCGAAGATTAATATAACTCTGGAACTTGATTTTAAAACAGTTTGTTAAAATTTTTGGCACAATACTTCAACATGTACCATATATATATACCAGAAATATGTACCTCTATGCTTCTATTTTTGTAAAAGTGGTAATTACATGGTATAAAGGTTATATCTATGGCACAAGTTTTTCAGTTATTATTCAGAATGGTGTTGAATTCCATCATAGTCTATTATGTTTTTAATATTTAGGAATAGTGTTGAAACGATGACTAATAATAGTTAATGCAATTAACTATTATTAGTCATCGGTTCAACACTATTCTTAAGTGTTGAACCGATGACTAATAATAGTTAATTGCATTAACTATTATTAGTCATCATTAAGGATGTAAAATATATATATATAAGAAGTACCTATACATCAGGAATTAAGCATTGGTCATTTAATTTGCTTAATCATCGGCCAATTAATCAGCTTATAACATCGATTAATCAGCATTGGACTAAGCATTCACATTGACTGATTGGCCAAACCACTACTGGCACATTGTCACACTATTTATATGCAAATTACATATTTTTTATTATTATATTTATTTTATATATATATTAATTCCTATTATTAGCCACAGTTGGTTTATGTCATCAGTACATCACTAAAAAGGAATAATTATAACAACATGAACTGAAAAATTTTTAACTTTCTTATTTTATCTTTATTTAGTTGATACCAATCCTCCTTCAACTGAACAGCTTGATTCTGATGATGATGAAACTTTACCAGATTTCAGTAAAATAGTTGAAAATGCAGACAAAGCCCGTTCCAGAACTAGTTTTCCTCAGCCTTTTCTTACTGGTATTCCTGAAGAACATCGCAACAATCGACACAGAGTCAATAAGACAGTTTTAAGTGGAATATTTCCTGAGTATACTATCAATGAAGAATCAAGTGATAATGACAGTGAAACTGCAATAGATAAAAATGAATCTTATTGCGATAATAAGCTTACAAGTGAAAAGCATTTAAGTCTTGAGGATCTTCCTACTGATTGCAAGATGCTAGAAGACAATCGAGCAAAGAGCTTAATTTCACTTCCAACAATAACATGTGAAGAAAATACTAAGCATTCTGATATAAGAACTCCTAAAATAATTACAAGTAGTCTAAGTGATCCTTCATTGTCAAATGTTCTTTTGAAATCTTCTTCATCGTCATCCCTAAACCCACAAACCATAACAACTATAGAAAATAATGAAGTAATTGGTTCAAAGGCTTCATTATCTGCTGAAAAAAAGAAAACACCGAAAGTAGTAAGTTTCTAAAACAAATAATGTTAAAAAGCTAGGTAGTTAATGAATTTTGTTACAAGTTTATAAGGTTGCTCATTTATTTATTCATTGGTAAATATTTCCTTTTTTAAAATGATTTTTAAAAAATTTCTTTTAGGAAATGAGACATTATGTTGTGAATAACTTATTAGAAACTGAGCAATCATACGTCCAAAGTTTAAGTACAATGATAACTGTAAGTACTGTTATTTCAGCTAAAAAAAAGTTTTAAGATTTTCAGGCTGGTAATAAAGTTTTCTAAACTCTGAACTTGATTTGAGCAACTAATTTTATCTGTAGCTTCAAAATATCAGGTTGCTATGATACAAAATATCAGATTAACAATGTTTTGTGTGGAGTGTGTTCTTTTGGGCGCCTATGGTGTCCCATGCAATATTATTGTTACAACATTGTTATTGTTTGGAGGCACAAGTCTATTATTTGGTTTAGGGTTCCACCTTGAAACTTTGCATTATAAATATTTAAGTGTCTTAAGTGTGTCTTATGGTATTGCTTGCCAAGATTTAATAATTAAAGATACCTCCAAATTTAGAAAATTTATAAAAATAAATAAATTTAATTAATGTACAGTTTTCTTAAAGTTTTATATATTTGTTCTATTTAGTTAAATTTGATCATTGACGTTATTGTAATTTAAAAGCTTGTGAAAGCATTACAAAAATGTTTTTAATTTTTTGTAAAAAATGAAACAAATGTAATTGCTAACTTTAAACTCCCTTACTTTACTTCTCTACATTCAAAGAAAAGCAAAATTGAACCATATTGTTTGCTAAAAATGAACCATATTGTTTACTATTTAATTATTTATGTTGAAATTTAATGTTTAGACTTTTTTTAGGTTTACTATAGATATTCATCTAAAATTTAGAATAAATATTTAGAAATTCTCAGAACCTTTAAAAAGACCAGAAAACAGTAGTGTCATTGAGCCAAATGTTGTGGATGAAATATTTTATCAAATTCCTGAAATCCTTGAGCATCACGAGATGTTTTTAAGCCAGTTGACTGAGCGAGTAAATGCGTGGGATAATAATCAAGTTGTTGGTGACTTATTTGTTACATCGGTACTTTGATAATTTTTACATAATTATTTTGCTCCTTAGATATTTCATTTTCTCAGCTTCATTATTTATTTTAAGTTTTGTATTGTTATATTTATATATTTTAATGATATTTTATATATATATATATATATATATATATATATATATATATATATATAAATTTATTTATACAAAAATTGTTATATAACTTAAAACTAAAAATGATAATATTCTGTATACATAGTTTACAAAGACATATTTAATGGATGCCTACAGTAATTTTATCAATAATTTCATACAAGCAAAAGCTGCTATAAGACAGGCTGTAAATTCTCGTCCTCAGTTTGCACGCTTTTTGGAACAATGTACAAGAGAAAATCGTGAAAAACTTACTCTTTCTGACTTGCTTATAATGCCTGTACAAAGAATACCTCGATACAAACTACTTCTTTTAGTAAGTTTTAGTAAATTGCAAATATTTTGTTATTGTATTTATATATATATATATATTTGGTTATTGTATTATATATATATATATATATATATATATATATATATATATATATATATATATATATATATATATATATATATATATATATATATATATATATATATATATATATATATATATATATATATATATATATATATATATATATATAGTTATATATATATATATAGTTATATATATATATATAGTTATATATATACTCATATAGTGTCGCTTTAAGAGCATTTTAATGTAAAAAAAGTCTCTTACGACTACAATTTTAATTACCTCGTCTCTTAAGCTGTTTTTGATTGTCATCGAAATGTCAAAGCAATTAATTTTTGCGGAAGTACATTAAATTTAATTGTTTTTTAAAAAATTTTTAAAAAACCGCAATTATAACGACTAGAAAGTTTTTTTTAATTAGTGGTGTTTTTGTTATTGATTTAATAAAAAACATTTTTTAAACATGCGTAAATGTTGCTACATCGACTATCTTATAGCCTGACTCGCAACAGAGTGCTGCTACATCGACTGACAAATAGCCTGACTCGCAACGGAGTGCTGCTACATCGACTGACAAATAGCCTGACTCGCAACGGAGTGCTGCTACATCGACTGACAAATAGCCTGACTCGCAAGGGAATGCTGCTACATCGACTGACAAATAGCCTGACTCGCAAGGGAGTGCTGCTACAACGACTGACAAATAGCCTGACTCGCAAGAGAGTGCTGCTACATCGACTGAGGGTTTGGTTTGGCCAGGCAGTCTATCAATTAAAAAAAAAAATTTAATTTTTAAAACTTTTTCTGGTCTGGTTTATTAACGCGCTCTTTAAAACTACAGTTTATGGGAAGTATTTTTTGATGCTACGCAAGAGACATGCAAGACTATATATAGTTATATATATATATATATATATATATATATATATATATATATATAACTATATATATATATATATATATATATATATATATATATATATATATATATATATATATATATATATATATATATATATATATATATATATATATATATATATATATATATAGTTATATATATAATATATATATATATATATATATATATATATATATATATATATATATATATATATATATATAACTATATATATATATATATATATATATATATATATATATATATATATATATATATATATATATATATATATATATATATATATATATATATATATATATATATATATATATATATATATATATATATATATATATATATATATATATATATATATATATATATATATATATATATATATATATATAGTTACCCTAGCATGTTTAGATCAAAAAAAAAGAAAAAGAATAATGAAAAATTTTTTCAGACAAAGAATAAAAAAAAGATCAAAATTAGAAAATATTTTTTTTGTTGTATTAAATGCTCTTTTCATGTACATGCATAGTTGCCCGAATCCGAACTCTCAGTTGATGTGTTTACTGAAGCCTTTGATGAAGTTTTAGTATCTGCATTTATTGATCTATTTATATAATAGTTATAGTTTTTACAATATGAAACAAATCATGAAAATGGTTTCTGTTTTTTAATTACTATAATTTTTGTTTTGAAACAATTTTTTCTTTTTTTCTTATCTTGTTATGAATTAAATCTTTGCTTTTATAATATATTATATATTAATATATATTATATTGTTTTTATTATTGTTTAAATCTTTATCTATTGTTTTTATTGTTTTTGTGACACTATTGTTTTATAACAATAAGTTTGTTGTCTTTCAGTTTTAAAGTTATCTTTCTTATCTTCTTTTTTTTTCCTCACTATTTTATTATGCCGTATTTTTTATGTTCTTGCTTTATGTATTCATATATTATTTATTTTTCCTCTATATCAATTTTCCTAAAAATATTAGTTTTGCACAATTTTGGGAGAGATTTGGGTTTTGGTTTTTTTCTCCAGCCCTTTTATTGAAGTAATGTCTTGTATAATGATGGCTAAAGGAAATGATGAAGGTAGCAAGGATGCTTTTCTGGCAAATGCTGCAAGTCACCTTTTATTATTTTTACATAGCTACATTCAACTTTCAGGTATGATCCTCGCTATGCCACTGGGTATTATGGATGTCGCTGCAATTGAATTTATGTTTATTAATCATTATATTTCTTTTAAATTTTTTTTCTTATTTTCAAATTTCAATTGCAAAATTATTTGAATAACAGAATTTTAGAAGACTGAAATTTTTTTGTTTTCTTTTTTAAGAAAAATTTCTTAAAAAAAACTTGCGCATTTATAGAAAATGTTTAATTTTTAAACAAAATGAAAATATTTAAAAAATGGTATTGCGTTTTTCATATTCTATTCAAGATTTCTTGTTAAAATAATTTTTAGTTAAAAACTTATTATGTGTTATAAGGTAGAAACATTTGTATGGCAAACTTTTGCAAGTCTTTTAGTAAATTTGATAGTTGAGTAACTTAACTGTAGTAACTGGTTGTTTTGATTAAGTTTATAGGTAAATTTATTGAGATGTGTTTTATCTATCAAGTAAATCAAACTAATTATAATTTTAAAATATTATTGGCTTCTATGCTTAGATTTAAAGTATTTTAAATTCAAAAGCGTTTTATGGTGCATGAAAATCTCTGCTCAAGAGAGGAAAAGATAAATTTAGCATGATGTACTTTATGACCCCTAATAAAAAACTTAGACAAAAACATTCTATACTTTTAAGAATGGTCAAAAAAAATTCTAAATTAGATAAAAAAAAAAAAATAATAATAACAAAAAATAATAGTAATATTAAAGGAGCAAAAAGCAATCACGGTTCTGATACACTTAATTTGTGCCCTAAAGCCTGAAAGTTTAAAAAAGTTTATGGTAATAACCACAGTTGCGCATTAAAAAACAGCAACCATTAATTTTTGTTTTTGTTAAATATTGTAGATACCTTATATACCCTTTTTTTAATATCTTAATAGTGATAACTTATATTTTAGGATATGTTAAAATACACACCTGAGAATCACCCCGATTACGAAAATATACATTTAGCTATTGAAGAGATTGAAGCTCTTGCTGACAGAATGAATAAAGGTGAAATGGATGCTGACCAGGCTGAGCGAGATATAGAACGGTTAAGAGACATTGAAAATACAATTGAGGGAGTTCAAGATCTTGTGACAGCATCAAGACGGTTTGTTAGACAAGATCTTGTTGCAGAAAAAGAAGGCACACAAACAAAGAAAGATCGCTGCTTATTTTTGTTTTCTGATCTTTTAATATGTACAACTCAGCGGCGTAAAAATAATGCTTTAAGAAGGGGTTCATTAGGGCTATTTACAGGACAATCCGCAGCAGATATGAATCGATACAAGTTTTTATGGAAGGTTCATCTTGATGATGTGGAAATTTCAAAAGGTTTTTTTTTTTTTTTAATTTTAAAATTAATCTGTATACTTAGGACTTTTTTATATTTTTTTTATATAGTAGCAATAAAACTCAGGTTAAGTGGCAACAGTCAAAGGCCATTGGTATTTTTCATGTTACTTGTGTAAAATTTAAAAAGAAAGTTAAAAACTAATGGGTTGTGGATCTTTGCCCCCCAAGATACTCCCTCTTTAATCAGAGCCTGGTGGCAACAACAAAATATATTTTTATTTGCAGATGTAATATACTTGAATATTGCACCTAAAGGAACAAATAATATTTTTAGAAAATCTAAACTTATATAATCTTTGGACACCCTTTCTATCATTTATTAATTTATTGTTTTTTTTAAGCTTGTTTTCCTAGGATTATCAATATGTTCCAAGAATAATTTCCAATAAGGACTAATATTTTCCGAGGATAATCCATATCCAGCTTAAATCAATATGTATATTGTTCTTTTTATTTTGAAAATGCAATCAACCCTTGTAAAAAAATCAAATCTTGTTGGAAAAAGATGTCCTTAAAAAGATATTTTGGGGTATTGTTCTCATCACAGGACTTATTTCACAAAATTTCAAAATTCTACTCCTAGGCATTGCGTTTTTAATTATTATTTTTTTAAAGTACAAAAACAGTATGAACATGTTCTTTTAAACAAAAAATAATTTTTTCAATCAACTTGTTTTATGCTTTTTTAAGTACTGATCTCATATGGAGGTATGAGACAGGAATCTTGTGAGGTTCCAAAAAAATGTTTCACATTTATAAAAAACCACAGTTTTGGTTTTAATTAAAAAAAAAAGCCATGTTTTAGAGTGGTTTTTGGTTTTTCTTGTTAAATAATAAAACTTATATAAATTTAAATTGTATTGTTTATTTAAAAAAATTATTTAAACAAAGTGTTCTAACATGTTTATATTTCAAAATAAAACTTATAACAACTTATTTTTTTCATAATTTTTTTTTGAGAAAACTAAAGATTTTAAAGAATCATCAGAGAGTCATCATCTGATTTTTGTGCAGAAATTAGTGCGCTTGAAAAAATAGGTTCGACATCTGTTGATGTGGGCTTTATAGAGAGAATCGCATTGTAAATCTAAGGTTTTCTGATCTTTTACCAGTATTTCGGTACAACAAAAACTCTTGCTTAAACCTTTTGATTTAATCATTAGATTTGAGCAAGTGTGCAATGCTATTTTTATTCAGAAGTGCATTTAATTCATCCTTAAAAGAAACAGGTGAACTTTCAGATGCTGCACATGGTTCCTTTGCCTATTAGTGGTTCATCATCATTAAAAGTAAATCCAAAAAGCCTAAACACAAGTTTTCCAGAAAAATTTAAAGTATCTTTTAATGGAAGCTGAAGGATCTTTTAGGCACCTTAACAACTGCATAATATTTTTGTTAATTCATTTTATCGAATCGGTTTTTTAAATTTGAATGCAATAAAGATGGAATTTCTGTACTCATAGCAAATAGTTTTGCAAGCATGAATTCAAGAACAGTATCTGCTGTTGATAAAGTTGCATCTTCTCTGCTAAGGAATTCCACTGCTAGTTTTGCGGGGTCTAAAGCGGCATTTAATGAACCTTATGACTCAAAATCTTGTTGATTACATCAAGAGCATTTAATTCAGTAAATGTCTGGAATAAGCATATCTTTTTTTTTTAAAACAAGGCGCAGTTATTGGAAAAAGTGACTTCCAACAATGACAAACATCCAGATGCAGTTCGATTTCTTCACCAAATTCCTCAGTATCTTTCTTCTGAAAAAATTCTGATTACGAACTGATGAAATTTTAATGAATTATACTACTTTTCATGCATTCATCAAAATTTCAGGGTATTCAACATTAATTTCATTGTTTACTGATTCAAAACTATAATTATCATTGTAACTTCCATGTTTATCCTCTTCTGAATCACTCTCGGTTTCCTAAGGAAATGTTATGTTTGTGTTTTTATTTTTCTTGTATAACATGTCGCATACACCAAGATGAATTGCATGATTAAAGCAAAATTGATCAACAATGTCCGTTAATTGCACGAGCTTCTTGTTGATTGCTGCACCATTTTGAGTAGAGCCTACTAAGTTTCTTTCCATACAGATACCGAATGAGTTCGTATGATCCTTAATATTTTGTATTAAACTTTCAGTTAGACTGGTACCATAAATCCTAATAAGGCCATTTTTACAGGTGTTCTTACATTTGCTTTCATGCAGGTTGACACCAATGTGCCTCAAAGATGTGTATTCATGATGCATTAAGCTGAATTTATGTCCCTTTTGAATTTTTTTTAGTAATTTCTTATTTCATCTTCTTTTCCCTTCTTTTTTTATCAGGAAAATCTTGATGGATTAAATTTATCACAGTTGTTGGACCTTTAGGAAGATGATTTCCTCTTTGTTGAATTGATGACCGAATAAATTTGTTGTTAGTTATCGTAATAATTGGAACAACATGTTGTTAGTTATCGTAATAATCGGAACACAATTGTAGCTGATCTAGCTATTGTAGCTAGATCAGCTACGATTTCTTTAAAGCTCATTTTTTGTATATAACTGTTTTAATTTTTTTTTTTTTTTTGGTGGTGGATTTGAGCTGTTGCTTGATTCTCCAGTCGAAGGACTATTGATAGTAATTCCATAAAGCAAAATATGATTTTGCAAAGCAGTTGTGGATCCACTGGAGCATGGTACAACAGAATCACATCTATTACAGATGCCTTCAACATCTTTTGAATTTGGAATTTTATGCTAGGCAGCAAATTTCTGATAACATGATCTATCTGGAAGATAAATTTTTTATTTTTTTTTTCTAAAAATTAAATATTTGATAGAAACATTGTGAAAAAAAATAAAAAAATTTATTATATTTTCAATAAATTCGTTTTATTACATATTTATATGTAAATATTTTGTTGAACCAAAATATTCACTAAAAAAATCTGTATGCTTTTTTAAGGAACAAAAAGCTTTAATATAAAGAATAGCTATCCTATTTGAGTATTCAAATACTTTATATTCAAATGTATTTGTGTGTTTTATTTGATATTTAAACATTGAAAAGACATATTAAGTTTACCAGCAAAATACAATATAAGTAATAAAATAAAAATTTAATTACTTTAAAATTTGACTTTTTATACCTTTCTATAGTAAATAAACATTCAAAAGACATAATACAAAAAAACCCAGTAAAACCATTTTTGAAAACAGACGGTTTTTATTTATATCGGTTTTAACAAAAAGCCGTGGTTTATTGGTTATCGGTTAAAATGGATTGGAAACCCTAGAAACTTGTAATTTGATCAATGGAGGATGAATGACGTTAAAGTAGTCTTTTGCCATATTAGGTTTTGATCCGGCTGCAACAAAAATACTGTAGCTTTGTTTGATTGAGAAAAAAGTTGTGGTATCTACACAGCCAAATTATCTGAACTTACTGGCACCAATAACATGGATGGGACTGGAATGTGACTGAATGCTACACAAATTGTTTGCCATTATTTAATCAAAGGGAATGAAAAAAGAAACATCATTCAGATAAATTTGGTAAATGATCTTCTTGGCTTCTCATATGTTTCTGGAATTTAACAACAGTAATGATGAGCTAATGTTTAGCTGCAGTATCTTGAGCCATTGCTAGAGTATGCTAGCATAAACTTTTTTATTAAGGACTTTAGTTTTAATCTTTTGCACTATCAGTACTGATGACTTCCAATTAAAATTTTCACCATTGATACCAATTTTTACAAGATGATGAGGGGAGTAAAGTTTAAGCAAACAGCTTTTCTGCAATCTTTGTGTGATCTTGCCAAAGTTTTTGAATTGTTTTGTTTGATTTTGCTTTCCTCAAACTAATTTATTGTAAAAAACAAAAAATAAAATAATATAATTCTAACTAGATTAACATGGTCTTAACAAATTTGAAGAAGCAGTCAATAGTTTGAAAAATTATTTTCGCTGATAATTAGTTTTTGAAAAGAAAAATACTTTTTACTCAAATATTTTATTTTAATATAAAATTTTTTTTTTTTTTTTTAATATAAAACTTTACATTTTAATATAAAACTTTACATTATAAATAAAGTAAATATAGCTATTAGAAAATATAATAAGCTCATTTTTACAAAAAAAAAAGTCATTCTAGATATTTACCTGTTGAATTTTTATATTAATTTTTTTGTTTGTTGTTTTAATTGTTTGTTGTTTGTTCTTTGTATATAAAAGGCAATATATTAATTTGTATGTAATTATTATAGATTATGTAGCAATCATTTTTTTTAGTATATTTTACCACATATTTTTTAATTTGTGTAGCGACTAATTCACAGGCTATAATTAATAACAGTGAAATTGACAAGCTAGAAGAAGATCTCCATAAACTGAAAACAATTTTGGCAAATATTGAAACACTATATACACCTCACCATGTAAGCAAATTTTTTTTAACAACTCTCAACAGTATTTTTTTAACAGTCCAATTATTGATAGTCTGAAATAATTTATTTATTCTTTATTAGATTGTAGAAGGATCCATTAGAGAGTTAACAAATGATGTGAGACAACGAATTCAGGAACAGCAGTATATAGCTATGCAATCTCAACCTCCATATAAGGCAAGAATCGATCTACAAGCATTAACAGAGTAAGATAGTGAAATTGAGTGATTATTTATGAGAGTATTTTTTAGATATCATTTTAAATATCATTTTTAAATTTCTTTTAAATATCATTTTTTATTCACAAATTATAATGCATTATCTATTAACTATAATACATTAGTTATAATTAGGAAGTGACTGTGACCCCAGCTCTAACTAAATATGGAGTTTTTAACAACCCTTTTGTGGCCACAGCTAAATAACTATATTAGTGATTTTTTCCTTTTTTTTAATTTAAATTCACTTCCCTCAGGCTGTAACCAGAAAGGGTATTTTAACATTTTATTTTAGTTGAGGAGTGTTTTAACTAAAGAGGGCTGCAGTTGAGAAGCCTTTTTCTTTTTTTTTTTGTTTTCAATTTTTTTAAAACTTTAAACTCTAAAACATAGGAATTAGTTTTATTGTATATATATATATATATATATATACAATAAAACTAAGTTTTATTGTATTTATATATATATGTATGTATATATGTATATATATATATATATATATATATATATATATATATATATATATATATATATATATATATGTATATATATATATATACATATATATATATATATATATATATATATACATATATAAATATATATATATATATACATATATATATATATACATATATACATATATACATATATATATATATATATATATATATATATATATATATATATATATATATATATATATATATATATATATATATACATATATATATATATATATATATATATATATATATATATATATATATATATATATATATATATATATATATATATATATTATTGTAGCAATAATCTTATTATATAAATATGTATATAAAGAACATATTTAATATGTAATAATAAAAAAATTTTATGTTACCTTGATCTTTGGCCCCTGTATATTTGGAGCCCGACCCTTAAAATAAAACACCCTTTTATTTGCATATTTATACAATATGGATATATATATATATATATATATCTAAAGGGGCTATTCTAGGAAAATAATTTGGACAGTGGTATGCCCCCCTCTCTTCCTAGCAAAATTTAGTGGAAATGTTGCTGAATGAAAGGCATTTTTCACGAGAAAACAAAAATCTCCACAATTTGTAATTTCAGCAGCACCCGTATACGGTCAGCACTGTCGAAAACAGTCTAAATTAGCCCATATATATATATATATTATATATATATATATATATATATATATATATATATATATATATATATATATATATATATATATATATATATACAGGGGTCGAAATAAGTGCCGGACATCGCCGCCCCTCAGACCATTTTTGAGACCTGCTAGATGAGGGCAACCAACCATTGTTCATTTTTACTGCAAAAATGAACAATGGTTTGTTGCCCTCATCTAGCAGGTCTCAAAAATGGTCTGAGGGGCGGCGATGTCCAGCACTTATTTCATTTTTACTGCAAAAATGAACAATGGTTTGTTGCCCTCATCTAGCAGGTCTCAAAAATGGTCTGAGGGGCGGCGATGTCCAGCACTTATTTCGACCCCTGTATATATATATATATTTTTTTTTTCAAAAATATCTGCTCCCACCCTCTAAAAGTGTTCCATATAATAAAATAATACTATAATTAAAAAGTTTTTGAAAAAATATTTTTAGGGGTAGCTCAGGTCCCTCAAACATCAGACGGGTCCCTTATATTATCAAACAAAAAAAGTTCTTTAAAAATACGTCATGTTTAGTCTCAAAAGAAGCGAAGTTTTGTATAAGTTTTAAAAATAATCATCATTTTATAAAAAAACTATTATTTTGAATCTCACTGCCTAAAAAATTACATTTTTTAGGCAGTGAGATTTAACTAAAAATAAAAATGTTTTTTTCAATAAAATTTATTTAAATTTTTTTTTTTCTTTATTAATGTTTTTATTTTTTTATTATTCTTAAAAGATTGTATAATTTAATTTTTTTTCTAATTAAAGAGAAATATTTTATGTTTTATCATGTTTATAGAATAAGTTAGTTTTCCAAAGTTACTTAAAAACCACTCCTTTATTTTTTCTAATTTTTTAAATTTAATTAAATATTTTTGTGATCCGAAAATAGAGCCAACAATTTTAGCAATTTTTAATTTATCCGCAATATAACTTGATTTAGGCTAGAGACTCAAAGTATGAAATAATGAAGCGTAGATAATACCAAAGACAAGTAGACCAAAAGAAAGTATGAAATAATGAAGCTTAGATAATACCAAAGACAAGAAGACCAAGTAGACAAGTTGACCAAAAACAGATTTCCATACTCATTCATTTTTATTTATTTTTCAGAGTTCTTTTTTGTTTAAATTAACTTCATCCATGATAAAATCAGTTGTTATAAGATATGAATGGAATCAGTTGTTGTTAGATATGAGTTGAGTCAGTTGTTGTAAGATATGAGTTGAATCAGTTATTGTAAGATATGAGTAGAATCATTTGTTGTAAGATGAGTCGAATCAGTTGTTGTAAGATATGAGTTAAAAATGAGTTTATTATAAGTTTTCCATTTATTATAAGTTTTCCATTTATTATAAGTTTTCCATTTATTATAAGTTTTCCATTTATTATAAGTTTTCCATTTATTATAAGTTTTCCATCTATAAAAGGTTTTTGTGGCAAGTTCTTTTTTTGGCAACTTTCTTCCAATTTGTTTCTTATAATGTTAGCTCCTCCATGTTTTTAAATTTAATAATGAGTTTTTCCAAAATAAATTATAATAGTTTTTGTATTTAATTTTATTCTTACAGATTTTATGTTCAATATATTTCATAGAATTTTTTTTTTATATATATTTCTTAATGGTTTGTCTTTTTGCCATTTGCTATGGGCTTAAAAATATCTTTAAAGTTTTATGAAATTGGTTTAAGAATAAATCATAATCATTATTTACCTTGTGTGATAGTAATTTAAGAATCCAATCAACATAAATTTGCATATGAAATTTTCATTAAATTATTGTATGCATACTGTTGATTTAAGAGAAGCCCAATCTGAACAAGATTTAAATTTTTTAAATTTTTGTTCATATTTCAAATATTAATTTGCAAAATTGAAAATCTATTTTTATTCTCACAAAGATATTAAATAATATTCATGTTCTATGATGGTTTAATTATTGTAATTAACAAGTCATTATCACTAAGGGTTATATAATTATTTTAACCTCTTAGGTTGTCCTCTATTTCTATTTTTTTGTCTGTACACAATAATCTTTGTTTATGAACATATTTTTTCCATTTAATTTTTGAGAGTTTTTAAATATACCCTATCTTTTTAGTTCAGTGATTTTATAACTATAACTCTGGCTCTCCAGTCTTATGTTTCCATTCAGTTTTTATAACTTATAATCGAAGTGTTTCTTTAAAAAACTTTAATATCTCTGCTATACTATTTCTTAAACTTTCATTCTCGCTTTCTTTCAACCTGAAAATTTTAACTCCCACAAAACTCAGTTATTTACTCCAAACAACTATTGCAATGCTGTTGACATTCCTATCTTAATGAATGGCAACCCTCTAAGTGAGACTAAATAACCAAACTACTATTTAAAACCAAATGAGACCAACCCACTAGCTTCCAGTGGGTTGGTCTCATTTAGTTTTAAATCTTTTTTAATTTTGTAAATTTTTTAGGTTAAGGATATTTACTTTCTTGAATGAATTTTCTTGTAATTGTAAAGTCTTTCTGTGAATTTTTTTATAAATTAACAACTGTTAAAGGCGTAAACTGTTAAAGGCGTAACAACTGTTAAAGGCGTAAAAGACCAATCCACTGGAAGCTAGTGGGTTGTTCTCATTTAGTTTTAAATAGTAGTTTGGTTATTTAGTCTCACTTAGAGGGTTGCCATTCATTAAGATAGGCTTTTTTCTTTTTCTTTTTTTTTTTTAAGTTTTTTTGTTCCCTCTAAAATTGCAATTTTTTGTCTCAAGTATTTTAGCAACAATTTTTGCACTAAAATTTTTTTATTATTAATTCTTGCAAATTTTAAACAAATAATATTAAATTTCTAGTGATGGACTAAAAGAGTATACATTTAACTTTCTTTCTCCTGAATGCAAGGCATCGTGGTTAAGTTTTTTCGAGGAAACGAAACAAAAATTAGGTGAGTTATTTTAATTTTCTATCAATCTTTTAAAATAATCCTTGTTAATTTTGTTTTGACCGTTTCTTTATTTTTGTTGAAGATTAATAAGTTTTATAAAATGAAATAGTTATAATACAATAAAAATTATGAGCCATTTAAACTGAAGTACTAATTTTTTTATTAAACTTTGCAATAAATATATATGTATAAATTTACAATCTCATGTTTAAACAATTCCTTTGTGTCTTAAGAATTTTAACTAATATGGAGATAATTTTTTGTAATCTTTACCAAACTATGAGTTATTGTGTTTGATGGTCTCAGATGCTTTTACTATTTAAAATTCTTTTAATGATTTTGTATATTTTTTCAAATACCAAAGGTTAAGCTCTCTATATTCAATTAAATACAGAATAGTAAAAAAAACTTCAAATACCAAAAGTTAAGCTCTTTATATTTGGTTAAATAAAGAAGAGTAAAAAATATTTAAAATACCAAAGGTTAAGTTCTTTATATTTGGTTGAATACAGAATAGTAAGAAATAAAATAGTAGGCTTTATGATGATATCATTTTTCAATTTGTTAATGCTAAAATAAAGATATTAATATATTTCAATTCTTATAGCCTTTTTTAACATAATTAAGTTTTTGATTAATTTTTATGAAGTTATTTATATTTGATTTCTACTTTTTAACTGTAACTTTTAAACTCATGGTAACAAAAAAAAATTTTTTTTTTTTAATGAAAAAATTATGATCAAAATTTTTGAAGTTATTTTCTTTTCTTCTTCAGTAATTTCAAAAATGGTTAGGTACCAGTTTTCAGTCTAGGGTTCGCATTTTGTATTATAGATACAATATGGTTTTATTAATGAATAAAATCTAAGTTCTAGAATTTATATTATTCATTAATAAAACCATATCGTATCTATAATACAAAATGTGAACCCAAACACAGAATTTTTTATGGAAATTTCAAAAGTGTATTTTGAAATTATGACAAAATATCTTTATTGGTAATGGAACAGAAGTTTTTAAAATCAAAATAATGATCATCAAATAATCTTAATTGTCTCTATATTTTTGGATTCATCAAAAATAGTTAGGTACCAATTTTTAACCATATTCTTCCATAAGAAGTTTTTGTGAAAACGTTTTATTAATATTTCAATGGTAGGTAATGCTGATAAAAATTCAAAAAAAATCTTTTAATTTTTTATACTACTTTTACATTGAATCACTTTAATGTTACCAAGGTAACAAGGCCCTAATTTTGTTCAGTCCAATTAATCTTTACTATAAAAATGTTTTTACATTTCAAGATTGTTTACGAATTATAAAATAACTAATATTAATTAAAACATAATCTTAACAAAAAGATATTTTAAGAATAATAATATTAATGGTAATAACAAGAAGACATTAAGAATAAATATAATAGTAATGGTAATAATAATAATGGTAATAATATTGATTAAACAAGAATTAATATAACATTTAAAAAAAGCACATTTATAGAAGTTTTAGATTTTGTACTTTACAATTTTTTTCTTTTATGTTTATTTCTTTGTTTTATTATTTACTAATTTATATATATATTTTTTCTTTTTAAGTGTCTTTTTTATAGGGTTAAATAAATTTAATTTTTTTTCATAGGGTTAAATATAATTAAATGTAATTCAAGTTGCTTAAATCAGAATTAAAAAAAAACTTTTTTATTGTCTTTAAATAAATATTATAACTGAAAACATTTAAAAATAAACTCTCTTTAAAATAACTATGAATAACTGCTAATGCTTAAGTTTTTTTTAGAGTTTTAATAATTTTTTAAAAAGCTTTTTACAGGCATAAATTATGTTAAATATTTTTTAATTTTACCCAAACTGGCTAAGTATCTCGTATTCATAGGCTTCTTGTACTAGATAACCAATTCAAACTTCTACATTAATTGTGTTAGACTTTTTTATTATAGTATATTTTTGTATAGTTTATATTTTTATTTTAATTTATTTAACCTTTTTATTTAGTTTATTCTGCAAATTCTATACCCCCAGAGTTCCAATATCCAGTACCTATAACTAAAACCAGAAGTGGGATGCAGGTTAAATAAAATTTATACTTATAATTAAAAAATGTTTATTGCTTGACAACAGCAAAAAATTTGATTCAAATTTTAAATTAATAAATTTTTAGTATACTTTTGTTACCATAGTTTCTAAAGTTTACACATTTTAGTTTACCTGTGCTTCACCTAATCAAACAATTGGAAATTATTCTGACATGTCTCCACAACAATCTATCAATGGAGAGGTCTGGGTGTGTAATAGTGATGGTTATGTTGGTCAGGTTTGTTTAATTTCTATGGTTCCTGAGGCTCAGTCAAAAGCTTCACTTTCTGTGTGTTCTGTAAGGATTTTATGTTTGGCTGCTGTTCCTGGGGGGCGTCTTCTAAATAAATATAGAAACTCAAGTAATCAAAGTAAATCTAATGCCATTGATTTTAATCCAAAAAAAATAAGATCCAGGAATGGTTCTATCAAAAAATCTTTACCAAGTGAATCAGATGATGATGATCTTCATAACAATGCTGCAAATATTATGGCGTTTGATAGCAGTGATGACGAGGAAATGGAATCATCATATATGGGTAAAAACATATTAAGATTTTTTTATAAAAATCATTCAAAATAAATTGCTTTATAATTATTATAAATTTTATTTTCAAGGCTCCATATCATTTGATGGTAGAATGAGCCCCGATGGTAGCAGTCTAGGGACTGTTGAAAGTCAAGAAGGAGATCCTGATAGCAGCGATGATTATAATAACACAATAAGTGATGAAGAAGATTCAGCTAGAAAAGATTTAAGAAGAGAATACAGCAATCTTTCTTCTGAAGTAAATGATCAAATCAATATGTGGTTAGGAACTGAAGATGGAAAGTAAATATTTTGCACAGATTAGTTCTTTTAATTAATGAATTTAAAAAAAAAAAAAAACTTGTCTTAAGATTAGGTATATGACACTATGTTTAATTTAACAAATCAATATTAAGTACAACCAAGCAACTAAGTTTTGTGAGTGTACTTAATAAAATATACCTTGCAACTAAATACAATTATATCCAGCAACAACTTTGCTGATAACTTCTTAAATCAAATGTTTAAATCTAAAGTTAATTCCCTTAATTTTGAAACTCGGTTATTTACTGCTAAACATTTTGAAAACTTTAATGATATTATTTATTCTTATTATTTTTGGATTATCTTTCATTACTATCCTCTATAGAAAACAATCAATCGCAAAATTAGGACCTACTTTTTATTAAATGTCATTATGAAAAATTGTGTCAAAAATAATTGTAGTACTTACAGCTTACTGAAAAAAAACACACAGTAAAAACCTATACATAAAGCAAAACTTTTATCAACATCTCTAATTATCTCTTTGTGTTTGTTATTTTCTTGCTTTCATTTTCTTGTTCCATTTATTATATCTACAGAGATATCTTCATTTCATAACTTTTAAAACATTTTTTTATGAAAATCCTTTATGTAAGTGATGATATATATAATAAGTTTATACTATTGTTAAAACTCATATAATAAAACAAAATTTGAAATATTATATCATATACTAAAAATCCTACAAATTCAATGCATTATCAATAAATTATTATGCTTGAATTAAATTATACGGTCTTTAGGTTGTGACATATGTTATTAAGACTTCAAGATATAGAGTAGAATGGAAAAATGGAGAATAGAGAAGAATAGAATAGAGAAGAATAGAATGGAGAAGAATGGAGAAGAGTAGAATGGAGAAGGCATGTTTGACTAAAATCACAAACTTAGTTTTTTATTGGCATTTACTATTTAGTTTTAATCAAAAAAAAATTTTCAACTTTTTTTAATGTGAACACATGTGTTATTGATGATTTTACATGGTCATGTGGTGAAGTTTACTTGGACATGTGATGATGATATTTTACCTGGTCATGTGGTGATGATATTTTTACATGGTCATGCAATGATAATGTGTTTACTTGGTCATGTGATGATAATATGTTTACTTGGTCATGTGATGATATGTTTACTTGGTCATGTGATCATGATATTCTGTTACTAGAACTTTTAATTCCTTTAATATAATTTTTTTATCTTTACTAAGTTGGTTTTAAGTTTTTAGTTATTATTATTTTAGTTGTTATTAACACTTTATAAAATAACATATAAAAATATAATAAATATAATATATAAAGTATAATAAATATAATATAATAAATAAAATAATGATAAGAACATATATTAATAAAATACAAATTTATTAAGATGTTTTAAGTTATTCTTGAGCTAATGGAATTATTAGACTAATATTTTTTTTAAATAAATATTAATATTTCATATTTTCAAATATATATTATTTTGTTTAGTATTTATGTTTATAATGCATCAGATGTTATAGCACAGCGAAAAACTAAAACCAAGTTGCAACATGGAGCTCCAGTAACAGCAATTTTGTAAGTCTAATTATTTAAAAATTCATTTAAATAAATAGTTTAATAAAATAAATTTGAAAGTATCCTTACAAGTTTTAGATATTTTTAATTTTGTAATTTAGATACTTTGAAAGTCGTGTATTTGTTGCACTCGGAAGTGGTGAATTATGTGTCTACACTAGAGATCAAGCTACAAATGTGTGGCAAACATCAAAACCAGAAAAAATAAATGTTAGCATTTCAGGATCCCCAATTTCTTGTATTACAGCAGTTGCTGGTCGAATATGGTGTGGATGTCAGAATACTATTGTACTTGTAAATGCTGCTACATTAGACCATGAGGTTTGATATATTTTATTTAGTACACAACTACATAAAATATTGTGAAGAGCATTGTTTTATAAGCCAATAAAATCTAATAATAATGTTAGATAGAAATAATGTTTTTTATAACAATTATACAGATATTCAAAAATACAAATAGATAAAAGTATAAAAAGTAAGAACTAATAAAAGTCTCTGCTTTCAAGAGATTAAAAAATGTTTCCCCTCCTAACTTTATGATGAATCTTAAAAAACTCTCTTAAACCATATGATGAATCTTTAAAAATGGATATAGAAAAGACAAAACAGCAAAACCTTGACAAACAAAGCAAATTTTGTTCAGAATACATAAATTTACAATGCAATAAATATGCGATTGTTTCTAATTGTATTGAGAAAATCAAGACACCAAACAACTGTATACTGATTTATCAGTATGTACCATTTCCTATGGTGCTAGGTAAATCAATGCTACATTGCAAATATTTATTTGATTAGCTAGTCAAGATTTGCGTTGTATGACTGCTGTTTTCATCGACTTAAGTTAAAGAGTTTTTTAATTATTTACAGTAATGTAAATTATTGTATATTTGTTAATAATTATAATCCAATCCAACTAGATTTTTCAGATGTGTTGATTTTTTATAAAAACAGATTTCATATAAATTTAGTATGTATTATAAGTTATATTTAATACTATTGATTATTTAAATGTTGCTGGTTTTTTATCAGAACATTTTATTCAAACAACAGCTAAAATGGTGTATTGATAATGAATTACATTTTGATAAATATTACTTGAATGAATTACATTTCGATCTACATAATTTTTATTTGAATTACATTATTGATAATAAATTTGATTTTGATAAATAATACATTTCGATAAATATTATTTGATGAATAATGGTTCGCAAAATAAACGTTTTGAAATTATTTATGAATTGTTGTTATAATTACAATAGTTATATATATAATTGTGTATATATAATTATTTAGAATACATTCACAGTTAGCTCTGACCACACCAAGGTTGTTCATAAGATTGTAAGCTCTGGGTTAGGAGTATGGGTATCAATGCAGAATAGCGCAACTGTACGATTATATCATGGAACCACATACGAAAATGTTACAGAAATTGATATTACACCAGCCGTTAATAAAATGTTGGCTGGTAAATTGTTTCTTCTTGTTTGATTTTAAAATTAGCAATAATTTTTAATGTTGGCTAAAAGGCTTTTTACACTTTTTATCATAATTAAAACGTTTATTTTTATTAATTTTTTTTTATCACCCGCAATTGTTTTTTTCCACTTTTATTACCAATCCTTTTTTATACGTATCTTTTATTAATTTTTTTTTCCATTAATTTTTTGTCATAACTTTTTATTGTCGTAATATTGTCTTTGTCATTTTACATTTTTCTTCATACTTTCTAAGTTTAAAGTTAGGAATAAAAATGTTTTTTGCAGTATTTATTATATTTTTATATAAAGGAGCAGACGCCATTATTCGTCAACATAAATCAGCATGTCTTCGCGTAACATCCATGTTAATTTGTAAAGACTTGCTTTGGATTGGTACCAGCGCAGGCGTTATATTAACCAATCCTTTGCCTTCAATAACTGCTAGTACCTCTGTATTAAGAAACAGTTTAATTCCTACAGGATCACCTTATGGACACACAGGACATGTTCGGTTTTTAACTTTAGTTGAGGTAGCTAAATCACAATTTAAAACAGTAGAAAGTAATAAAGACAATTCGAAAAGCTCACCATGGCTAGGTACAAGCCGGCGTGAGTCGACTAAAAGTTTACGTAACGATAATAATTCGAGTGGAGTTTTGACTCTAGTCGTAAGTGGTGGGGATGGCTATGAAGATTTTAGATATAGTCAACAATCTGAAACAGTTGGTCGTGACGATAGTACGAACCATTTACTTATATGGCGAGTATGATTTATAATGTTATAAAATGGCTACGTCATACATTTTTCAAAATGCGATTTATTGCATAGAAGTGCTTAAATTAATAAATTTTTTAATAGAAATTATTTATAACACTGCGCTCATCTTTGATTTTTTATCTCAAAAAAATGTTGGTTTCTGCAACCATTGAAATTCTACATTCTTGTAGGTTTTTATGTTTTGTACTGCAATATTTTTTATAATTATTTTGAAATTAAAGCAAAACTTTTTTCAAAAATTATTTTTATAAAACAGTAAATGAAATCAAGATAAGTGCGTGCGCATAATGAGTGATTGTTGATATATGTTTATAAATACTATGTAAATATTAAAAATAAATTCTAACTAATATTTTTCTCTTTTTTAAATTTTTTATTTTTTTATCTGAGTAATAGCTACGAGAATAATGTAAACCGCTCGTTACCATGACAATCATATGCCACCTATTGACTAGACATGTTTTACTCATTTTTATAAAATCAGTTTTCATAACTTTTTTGCTGTAAAATTGTATATACCTAATAAATTATATATACTTTGTTATATGTACTTAATAAATTATATATACCTTATATCTGGGTTATTAATTTGGATTCAAAAACAAATAGTGTAATAAGTTCTTGGTTAACCACGCTGTTTAATTAAGAACGTATTTCGTATAATTGCATTATCGTGAGTTTTTCTGTTACAGTTGAAACAGTTACAGATAAATTTATTTAAGTTCTAAAAAGTTCGATTTAGTTTAGTTATAAAATTTTCTTGTAAAAATCCTTCATATTTGTGTCCAGAACTTATTGTAGGATGCAAAATATATTCAATATTTTAATGAAAGGTTGTTTCTTGCTTATAACTGTAAGTATTAAAGTTATGGTATTTAACTTCAAACTTTTATCTTGTGTTTAATAACTTTATTTTGAAGTTTTAATGATCACCTTTTTTGCATGATGCATTATTAGGTTTTTTGACACCTCATCTATTAAGAAGTAGGTATGGTTTTGATCTTAGTGTTATGAAATTAATTATTTTTTGTTATTAATATTATTTAATTTCATTCTATTTTCTTTAGAGTTTCTTCTTTACTGAATTTTGAAATCAGGCATTTTAAAAAGAAAAATGCAGTAAACAGCAAAACCTTTGACAACTTTTACGTTTTATGTTCTGCCTGTATTTTTTAAGAAATTTCAAATATATTTATAAATTTGGTAAAAGATTACTACATTTTAGTAAACGTTTTTTTATTATTTAGTAAACGTTTGATACAAATATTTTTAATTTTTTGTTAATACTACGTTTTTACTTAGGGTGGCGGCAAACAAAAGTTGTAAATAATTTTTTTAAGAAATTTCAAATATATTTAGAAATTTGGTAAAAGATTACTACATTTGTCCAACAACTTCTGTAGAGTAGTACAAGATCATCTGTTTTTTTTTATTCCAACAAAATCTGTCCCATATCTAAAAATTCAATGACGCTAACATCTTTAGAAAGATGTAACTACATCTGGTAATTTTTCACTAAGTCTAATATATATAATAGAATATAACTACATCTGAAAAAAATCTTATATGTAACTACATCTGGTTAAAATTATGCATTTATATTTAATAATTTTATAAAATCCTGTTGCTATTTTTAATATAATTTAAAAGATGTAACTACATCTGTAGAATTTGCAGATGTTGTTATACTTATAAAAGATGTAACTACTAAAATAAAACTAGTAACAAAACTACATCATCAGGTGTAACTACATCTATCTACATCTGTATTAATCATATACTTTTTACACAAATGTTATTATACATCAATGAAATTTCAGATGTTGTAGGACAGACGTTGTTATACCTCAGTGTGTTTACAGATGTTTTAGACAGCAAAAACTGATGTAGTTATCTTCACCCAAAAGTTTTATTCTTATTTAAAACAAGTTTTTTTGTTTGAAAAAAACGGTATCTCTTATATTTAGCTAATGCTTTTTAAATACTAGTCTTTAGACTACTTCTTTCCCAGGTAATAAACACAATTTTTATCAAAAAATAAATGACACAGCATTTAGATTCGCTTCTGACAAATGCAAGCTTATACGTATAAATATTTGTATGTGTCTACGTGAACAAGTGATTAAAAGGGTGCTTAGTGTTTGATTAATAAAAAATTTCAGTATGTATGACAGAGAAAGGGGGTGGTGTTGTAGGTATTTGGCTTATAAAAGTCAATAAAATTTCTACTTTTTTTTTTTTTTTGTATGTATTTAGGTGCTCCCAGAAGTCCTTACGGTCTTATCATAGAGCACCGCGGTAGAGCATTTAACGAGAAGTTCACGCCTTCCTCCGTACCAATGTTGCTTGTTGGGCTGGAGCTGGCATCGAACCTCGAACCTCTGGGTTCTGAGCCAGAACTCTAACCACTGCGCCACGGCTGCTTTAACTTGTTTTTAACTTGTGCATATCACGAAAAACGAATAAAATTAAAGATCATGTACTTCTCTGCCAGCCATATAAGTTTCTATGAGTCACACGTGCGGCTATCGACTCAAACGCCATAATTTATAGTGCATTAGTCTTTGCATCCTCACATATTCGATTGCATTCGTTTCCGTTTACACGGTATATATACGATCGAATCTTTTATTATTACATATATACCGTGTACGCCGTATGTATGCGATCGAATCTTTTAATTTAGTAGCCGTGGCGCAGTGGTAGCGCACTTGCCTCAGAAACGTAAGATATGTGGCTCAAAACTTGCCCCACCTCTGAGCAGGTTTTGCGACATCGGTTGAGAAGGAGGCGTAAACTTCCTATTAAATGCTCCTCCGCGGTGCTCCGTGATAAGACCGTAAAAGGACTTATTGGGGCACGTAAAAAAAATAAAAAATAAAAAATCTTGTTTTTTTTCTTGTTAAACCACACCAGAAAAGACCGGTAACTTGGGCAAAGACAACCCCTAAAATCAACCTGCACTTTGAAAAGGTGTTGCTTTCAGTTTGATTAGACGTTTACTGGAACTTGCTTTCACCTAACTCCACAACTACAGCAGCAACATACTGAGCTCAACTCGACAAGCATCAAGGCAAAAGTTTAAAAAAATTTCCAAAGCACAATTAAGTTTAATTTTGATATGATAACGCCTTACATTGCAAAATTGACACAACAAAACTTTTTGGAGCATGACGTTAGGTAAATAAGTGCTTAGGTAATTGACGCAAAAAAAGGTGGACTTTTTTACTTTTTTTTTTTTTTTTTTTTTAGTTTATTTTTTGTCGTTTTACACATTTTACAATGTTATCTTTAAATTCGAATAAATATATATATAATTACAAGCTGACAGGGGCAAGTAGAAGACATAAAGTCTTATCATCAAGCCCTTTTGTGAAATAGAGAAATATAAAATTTCTAAAATTCCAATAATATAAAAAAGAGTTAAATTAAAAATTTTGAAAAAATAAACAAACATTCAAACAAAATTAAAATAAAAATAAAAAAATTTAAAGAGTTTGAAATAAAGTAAAAAGATTGAAAAAAATTAAAAAGTTTAAAATAAATTAAAAGTTAAAAAAAGTAAAAATTAGAAAGAAAAAAAAAATAATAATAATAATAATAAAATCTCGAAATAAAAAAATAAAAATGTATACCATGCGTAAATTAAAAAGTTTGAATTTTTTTTTACAAATCAGAACATATACGTATACATATTCAATACAAAGCGAAGTATATATTCAAAAATATTTATATATTAAAAAGATTCCAAACGTTATGTAGATTTAAATTCATTTGTTAGTATTTATTAAAAAAAGTTAAAAAAAAAACAGTCAAAGAGAAAATCAAACAAGAAAGATATATATGTATATATATATATATTAAAAAAAAAATAAAAAAAAAAAAAAAAAAAAAGCTTTTTATCAAATTTATCAAAAAAATATTATTTTTAAAAAAATGAAAGAATGTATGTAATGTTTGAGTTTAGTAAGTGTTTTTTTATAGTTCTTTTGAATATATCAATAGATTTTATTTTTTTCATATTTTCGTCAAGAACTGACTTCCACAAGCGTGGCCCCCGACATGTAATTGAGAAGTCAGATTTTTTGAGTGATGTTGATGGGATGTAGTAATTATTTATTGAGTGTCTTGTTTCATATTTATGGTTAATTAGAGAGAAACCTTTATAAAAATATTTTGGAATTAGTTCATTTTGAAGTTTAAACATAAATAACAAGTTATGGTATATATTTAGTTCGTATACGTTTAGCGCATTAATTTCCTTGAGTAACGGCTTGGCACTTTCGTACCTATCTGCGCCCAAAACTAATCGACTTGCTTGCTTTTGTTTAGTATAAATATTTTTTAGGAAAGATGAATGATTGTTTGCCCAGGCAATATTACAATAGTTAATATGACTATGTATAAATGAAAAGTATAAGTTTTTTAAACATATTTTATTCAAAAGATGTTTTGTCCTGTACATAATCCCCACAGTCTTTGAAACTTTGTTCTCGACTAACTTTATTTGGCTTTTCCAATTTAAATGTTCATCGAAATTTATTCCTAGTATTTTCATTGAAAAAACTCTTTTTATTTTAATATTGTTAATTGTTAGTTCTGGAAGTTTAAGTGGAAGGTTCTCGGATTGAGATGGTTTAGCAAACAAAATATATTTAGTTTTTTCAATATTTAATGATAGTTTATTTGCTATAAACCACTCATTAAGATATATTAGTTCAGCGTTTACATAATAAAAAATATTTTTTAAATTTGAGTCAGAAAAGAAAACATTAGTGTCATCAGCAAAAATAGTATAATTAAGTATTTTTGAAGACAAAAAAATATCATTGATATAAACTAAAAACAATAAAGGTCCAAGTATTGATCCTTGTGGAACTCCGCAACTTATTGATTCAAATGGGGAGCATGTTAGATCATATGGTACACCTTGTTTACGGTTTTCTAAATAACATTGAAGCCACTTTAAATTAGAGTGAACTACTCCGTAACTACGTAGTTTGTAGATAAGAATCCTCTGGTTTACAGTATCAAATGCCTTTGATAGATCTAGAAAAATTCCAAGTGTGTAACAATTGTTTTCAAAACCTTGTAAAATTTGGTTCGCAAGATCAATTACGGCATGTTCAGTAGAATGGTTTTTTCGAAAACCAAACTGTTTATGATAAAGAATATTATTTTTTTCAAGATAATTGTACAGCCTGTTGAACATAATACGCTCTAATATTTTGGAAAAACAGGAAAGTATGGAAATCGGTCTATAGTTAGATATTATTGAGTCGTCGCCGCTTTTGTATATTGGAATTATTTTTGCTAATTTAAGTTGGTCGGGAAAAATGCCGTTTTTTAGGGATAGATTAAAAATTATGAAAAGGGGTTTCTCTATGATATCAGAGACAGCTTTTACAACATCAGGTTTAATTTCATCCAGACCCGCACTTTTATTTGATTTAAGTTCTTCACTTCACTTACCTAATTGCTTTATTTGCCCAATTAAACGCCAATAGATTGCTATTTGTTCAAATCACTAAGCTTGTGCAATGAAAAAATTGAATATGAGGAGACGTCTAACG